CGTATTGACGCTTATCATTTAACATGTTTTCGCTTATAGATTTCCCCCTCTTAGATCGATGATCTTCACGCGTTTCATTGTAGTCACATTATCGATAAAATTAACGTCGACCGAATTCCAATTTCTGCAACGCAGACTTGGAAACGGTGATAAGTGCCAGAATATTTCGTATCAAAAGTAAAAAAGAATTGTAGAGATTATTTCCTACGTTGTTTTATCGATTTAAACGGGTGATTTGCTTTTAAAATTAACGGCAATACTATTAGAAATGTTCATTTGACTCTGCAAGTATACTTAGCAATTATATGCTTCTCAGTGCGGACATCAAATAATTATCTGAAAGAAATATTTCTGTCATTAATCATGTGGTGCAGTTTTTGTGTATTATTTTTGCCTTGGGGATATTTTTAAGTTCATAGTTATGCTTATACGTCGCAGAGTGAGTAACACCATCATATATTAATTGAGAAAATTACGTCTCACATATTCTCCAAAAGGATTATTATTTCAATTAATTTCTTCTAATACGTTGCGTAAAATATATTCATTCAATTACTAATTCCCATACGTACGTAATAAGTAGATATTTTTAAATATTCCTATATGTAAAACTGAGAATTTAAATCTTGAAATACTGTCTTATATATAAATAAAAATATTTCATTTACTATTTCCAATACTTAGTATTTTAAATGTGCCTACACCTCGCTTAGAACAATTGTATATTTTTCTAATTTTCAAACATTGTCCTGATCATAACTTTAATAGACGGTCCACAGTTTTTTTTATATCTTGTAAGGTATAGTTCAATATAATATTTCATGTAAAACTTTGTTGTTTTGTAACGCGCACAGATAATTTCAAAGTAATAACACAGATCGATTTGCACGGAATGGGCTTCTTTGCCACCATTTTTTACAAGGACAGATAATCGTATCCTTTTGAAATGAATAAATCATCGGTAGTCGCATTTGCGTAACATCATCAATATATATTACACGAAGTTTATACACACACTTTTAAACACGTTTTATTTCCTCGATATATTTTTCAGTTATTTTTGTATATCAAATAAAAATATTATGTGTGTATACATTATTCATAAAGGAACTCTAACTAGAAATTCAATAAATTCATTACAGAATTTTACTTGAGCTTAAAGGTCGCACGCAGTTAAGATTAAAGATTAATATACAAACATAATTTTCCGGCTGCTCGACGTTGATAAATTGTAACTGTCCTACGCTAGAAATAAACAAAGACGAGCAGCGTTACTAATTCTTTTGCGGTGCTTATAAACTTCTTGGATATTCGTTTCTACGATACTATGCATTTGAACGAATAGAAAACATAAATAAGGAATTTGTCACATAAAGAGGAATTTATACATCTACATCTTGTATAAAACATTGAAAAATAGTATACTAACAGTGAACTAATTTAAAATAAGCATTTAACATCAGGTTACCTGTATAAATAATAACTAGACTCCGGATTTTTATATAAACCACTTAATTCGTAACTTGAGTAATCATTATGCATTTAGTAACTTTGTTTCACGTAACCAGAAATTATTATTTACAAAACGAACGTAGACCAGGAACGTGAAAGAAAATTCGTACCTTCAATTTTGAACCGCGTAGCGACGTAGAGACTTTTCAACGTGTGTTCTCAGGTTTGTTCATGAGTCAAGGACTGTGATTGTATAATCAACGGAGTTTGTTTTAATTTAGAAATGTCATACACCACGGTTAATCCGTCTCGTTCGTAAATGATGGAATGGAGGCAAGTAATACGCATAAAACGAGTGTCTACGTTCAAGCGACACAGAAAACGCCGCGGAGCACGTTAAATAACAAGGGTTAAATAAGGCTGCCAGATAACAACAGCTGTACGCGCGAGTGGAATAATAATTACTCACGATACCTGGTGTGAATGTACCGTCTGCATTGTGGTAGTAAGGACAGAAGATTCTATCAACACTCGCCTTCGCGAGCCTGTGTCCCGTGATTACCATAAAGGGACTTGAAGATATTCACTTGATGCTATTCGAGATTCCCCTGACTTTCAAGGAGATACTCCTGACGAATTTCGTCGTTGCTAGCTGAACGCCGGTTTCACGATTTTTATTTGAAAATTGTTGAAATTATAGAGACTCTTTCATAGGACATGATTCAATAAATTTCGAGAAAACTAAGTAAATTAAATTGCATCATTCTTATAGAGCAAACTGTGTCGATTAATAATTATTATTAAATCATAGCTTTTTCATCTTTAATGCTTGATAAGTTTGATATAATTATTGTACTGTGTGTACGGTGCTGAATAAACGTAAATAAATATTTATGGTTGTGAGAAACAATTGATCCGAATATTCGTTTATTGGAACATACGTATTTNATGTGCCTACACCTCGCTTAGAACAATTGTATATTTTTCTAATTTTCAAACATTGTCCTGATCATAACTTTAATAGACGGTCCACAGTTTTTTTTATATCTTGTAAGGTATAGTTCAATATAATATTTCATGTAAAACTTTGTTGTTTTGTAACGCGCACAGATAATTTCAAAGTAATAACACAGATCGATTTGCACGGAATGGGCTTCTTTGCCACCATTTTTTACAAGGACAGATAATCGTATCCTTTTGAAATGAATAAATCATCGGTAGTCGCATTTGCGTAACATCATCAATATATATTACACGAAGTTTATACACACACTTTTAAACACGTTTTATTTCCTCGATATATTTTTCAGTTATTTTTGTATATCAAATAAAAATATTATGTGTGTATACATTATTCATAAAGGAACTCTAACTAGAAATTCAATAAATTCATTACAGAATTTTACTTGAGCTTAAAGGTCGCACGCAGTTAAGATTAAAGATTAATATACAAACATAATTTTCCGGCTGCTCGACGTTGATAAATTGTAACTGTCCTACGCTAGAAATAAACAAAGACGAGCAGCGTTACTAATTCTTTTGCGGTGCTTATAAACTTCTTGGATATTCGTTTCTACGATACTATGCATTTGAACGAATAGAAAACATAAATAAGGAATTTGTCACATAAAGAGGAATTTATACATCTACATCTTGTATAAAACATTGAAAAATAGTATACTAACAGTGAACTAATTTAAAATAAGCATTTAACATCAGGTTACCTGTATAAATAATAACTAGACTCCGGATTTTTATATAAACCACTTAATTCGTAACTTGAGTAATCATTATGCATTTAGTAACTTTGTTTCACGTAACCAGAAATTATTATTTACAAAACGAACGTAGACCAGGAACGTGAAAGAAAATTCGTACCTTCAATTTTGAACCGCGTAGCGACGTAGAGACTTTTCAACGTGTGTTCTCAGGTTTGTTCATGAGTCAAGGACTGTGATTGTATAATCAACGGAGTTTGTTTTAATTTAGAAATGTCATACACCACGGTTAATCCGTCTCGTTCGTAAATGATGGAATGGAGGCAAGTAATACGCATAAAACGAGTGTCTACGTTCAAGCGACACAGAAAACGCCGCGGAGCACGTTAAATAACAAGGGTTAAATAAGGCTGCCAGATAACAACAGCTGTACGCGCGAGTGGAATAATAATTACTCACGATACCTGGTGTGAATGTACCGTCTGCATTGTGGTAGTAAGGACAGAAGATTCTATCAACACTCGCCTTCGCGAGCCTGTGTCCCGTGATTACCATAAAGGGACTTGAAGATATTCACTTGATGCTATTCGAGATTCCCCTGACTTTCAAGGAGATACTCCTGACGAATTTCGTCGTTGCTAGCTGAACGCCGGTTTCACGATTTTTATTTGAAAATTGTTGAAATTATAGAGACTCTTTCATAGGACATGATTCAATAAATTTCGAGAAAACTAAGTAAATTAAATTGCATCATTCTTATAGAGCAAACTGTGTCGATTAATAATTATTATTAAATCATAGCTTTTTCATCTTTAATGCTTGATAAGTTTGATATAATTATTGTACTGTGTGTACGGTGCTGAATAAACGTAAATAAATATTTATGGTTGTGAGAAACAATTGATCCGAATATTCGTTTATTGGAACATACGTATTTNTTAGAATGTTCATAAATAATAACAACTGGAAGATTAATATCTTGTTGCAACTCCCATTCTTTAAAGAACTCTTTACAATTTTTTTTATCCCGTGATAATANTTAGAATGTTCATAAATAATAACAACTGGAAGATTAATATCTTGTTGCAACTCCCATTCTTTAAAGAACTCTTTACAATTTTTTTTATCCCGTGATAATACTTTCGTTAAAGTTTGTTATTGTTTTCACTATAATATGTAATTTATGTTACTATTTCTTGTCACATAATATGCATAATATATCCAGATATCCATAAAATGAACGTTTAGTATAATTTTTAATAATATTTAAATCTAGGTTAATGCGTTCGTTTGAAGGTCATTCTTATAAGATCACGACTACAATTTATTTAACAGAAAAAAAGAAAAATCAGTTTACATTATCACTGCAATTAATAATAATTGTTAATTAAAAGTAGCCAATTTAAGCATTGGGAATATCTTATTTCACATGTACTAGAATTATTTTTCTCACACAGTTGTAAACATGGTAGACAGCTGTCCGGTTTATCAACAAACGATTGTTACAATGTATTTTCTGTTTTGCACATTTTGCATAACGCGTACATTTTGCATAGTAAACAATTTGCTCATACTGTATGAACTTCGTATAATTGTCATTCATTTTGCACGCATTTCCTGCATACATCATGCATACATAATTTATCAATTGAGTCTAGCTACAAAACCGTTCCAAAGAAAGTTTATATGAATTCCTCGCGAAAATATTTCTACAATTTTAATCGTTTTGAAAGAAAAATCAGAAAAATATATTTTTATAATAAAAATGCAATAAAAGCTATTGCACTTCAAATGCCAAATTGTTTCTACTAATTATTTGAATTTTTTCAGCCTGAGAAGCCTGAATGGCAGGACTATACCACAGAGGATTCATCAATGTCTGGATTAGCCGGTACATTACGCGGCTTGGAGGACATTTCCGGAAGTGGGACTCAACCTTACCGGAGAAACAGCCTCGCCTTGTCCTTGCACTCGAATTTGGCTGGTTTCCCCTCTAATAATCCAGAGATCACGCCTTTCCAAGTTGTTGATTCGGCGCGAAGAAGATTCAGCAATGTCAGCGATGTGGTCACGAGGAAAATTTCTCACACTATTCGCTGGAGGACCGTCTCTGCTTCCATTGAACTCACCGTGTCACAGGTGAGCCACAGCTGCTCCCATTTGCAACACATATTTCTTGGACATTAGTCAAATAATTAAAAAACAAAAGCATATTTTTAGTTCCTTAATTTGTACAACATTTGATACTGAAAGATGAAAGAACATTTTATAAAGTTTGACAATTCATGAAACATTCTTGCAAATATTTTAGTAAACTCTCTCTAAATTTGCTGGTATTTATTGAAATCTAAAGGATACTCGACCTGGGCACAGTCATATTAACAAGATTTATTGTTTAATAAAATGTATATTTTGTACGTTTATAGCGTATTAAATTGTTCTAATATTTTCAATTTATTGAAGCTGCTGTAAGAAAAATTTTATATATACCAAACTTCTGTTCCTTACAATTTATGAAGAAAATTTGTATTTTATATAAAGATTCGCAATCTTATTGTGCACAGAACAGTAAGAACATAAGACTGATGTAAGAATCTCGTTACGCTATTTTCATTTTATCGAGACTATTGAAAAAACGAGTACATTTTTACTTAACTCTCCTTTTCAACAATTAGTGCAGACAATATTAATTTTGCTTGAAGATCCTAATTAATTTCTTTTAACCCTTTAACTTACGATTTTTCCGGGCCTGCATGAATTAGGCCTCCTTTCACATTTCTAAAATCTTACAAAAGAAGTAAAATTTATGTTTATTGTATGTCTGCAGAAACTCTGACGATCAAGTATCGGTAACAGACAAATTATAGACGAATGACAAGAGTCTGACGCGATGTTTCAGTGTAATCTCGATTTTTAAATGTTTAAGTTTTTAATTATCTAGCCTATCAAGAAAAAGTCCGACTGATATTATTTATGGTTTGCCTAGGGCACATCATTATGCGGCCAGTATATACGAAATCGATTGAAACGATCCGGAATCTTTCATCGAAAGCTCGGTCTGAAGAGGATGAGGAGCGCCATGTTGCTTCCGGGTGGCGCGGTTGTGGGGGAGGTTTATCCAGAATTGATATCAGTTGGTGCAGAACTGGAGAAAATGCATCCAAACTTGTTCAATCGTGTTTCCCGACAAATTGGCTGCGGTAGTTTCTCTTCGGAACAATCCGCCAGCGTGGCCATAGCCGATGTCTCCAGGGAGATGATCAGAAACGGCGAGATGACCTGGAGCAAAGTGATAGCCCTTTACGCCATCGCCGGTGGCATTGCTGTGGATTGCGTACGTCAGGGCAAACCTGAGTTTCTACCCGCCATACAGAGAGGTAATTAATTCGTTTTAAATTATAATGTAATTCGTCTGGTAGTCCTGTTTCTCTCATTTTGGCAAGAATGTCCAGCCTAGAAGTGTTAAGTATCTACTTACTATGAATTCTATGTTGCAATCGAGCGAACAAAAAGTATGTTCTCTGCATTCTTACAGGTATACATTGGTCGTCGTCGTTACATTATTAATGACAAGACCAAAAAGAATTCTATTAAATATTGTGCTAAAAAAAGAGTGAGGCCTTATTACAATGTGAATGGTACAAAATTTTTTAGAGTCTATATTTAAGCGTGGGAAATTAAAGAAAGAGTATCAATTTTATATAAAATAGACTTCTCTAAAATTGTGATAATCACTAAAATATAAGTTTGTGAACAGTGTCTACGATTTTATGTGCGAAATTTTTACTTTTGAGCAATTTTGGAATGTTCAAAAATTGAAGCTCGTACATTTTGACAATTTTCGATTTTCAAAAATTGGAATTTTGAACAAATTACCATTTAAAATTGTAATTTAGTACTTTTGAGCAATTTTTAGTAATAAACAAATTGAAGCACGTACTTGTAAACTATTTTCGGGGTCTCAAAACCGAGTAAATTGTGAGTGCGTCTCATTCTTATTATTAGATCTCTGTTTGGTTATCAGGTATGAATGACATTTTGGAAGAGGATCTCGCTGCGTGGATACAAGCCAATGGCGGATGGGTAAGCTGAAATGTATTACCTAGCCAAAACAAATGAAAATTGGCACTTTCTTCGCCTAACAGATCTCTTATTTTAGTCTGCCTTGACAACACGCTACAGGCCAGTAACAAAGGAGACAGCATGGTGTACGCGGAAGCTTGTGTCATTATTTATATTTTCTACAGTGATCGTCGTTATAGTCTCGATATTTTTAAAATTTTTAATTTTATAACATGTACTAAATATACAGCCATGATTATTTATATTTATTGCACAACTGAATATAGTAAAAATTTTCATAACACTTTTTCGCACGAGTTTCTTACTACTTGAAAATCCTCGCTTTTTAATGTTCCTTAGGCTAGCAGTTACCAGATCGTTTACCTTTGGGCAATGGTTCATTATATTTAAATTTTACGTATTTCATTAAATGATTCGTATAAACGCAACATGCGCCGCCCTTTCAAGTATACACTTCTTGTTCCGACATCTCACGATGTGTAACTTCCGGCTCCAAGAATTCCGGTTCCTCTCGACTAACGGTCCGTTCAACGGTCCCTTGGTGTACCTGGTTGTTCTGTTTCTCATTTAATTCCTGGTAAAAATAATGGTTCTCACTGTTCGGAGGAAACGTACAAAATTACGTGCAATTTATAAAAATTGTGCAATCAGAAAGAAAATTAGATTACCTGTACTTTCGTAACGGTTGCGATATACGCGAGGAAGCTCTGATTCGTTTCTTCCTTATTAATCACTTCTAGATATTTTTTTCTCGCATACAGAACTTCCTCTTGTTGCTTTTTATGTCTAATGGCCAATTCCAAAGCTCTGAAATATAAATAACAATGTGAGAAATAAATGTATTATTCACAATGGCGTCTACGGCAACGAAACGATACCTATTCCAATTGTACACTTCGATGTTAATTCGTATAGCTTCCGCGATCAAACCATTTTGCAAAAGAATGCCTTCCGCAGTCAGCAGATCACCCGAGAGAAGCGCCATTTCTGCTAGTCTCTGAGTTTTGCTTGTGAAACCCTTTTAATTTTCAACGTATGAATACTAACGCGGATTATTGCAGAAAAAGTAACAGTTTCTTTTATTAATTGCCATTACCTTTATATATTGAATATAATCTACTTTGTCGTATCGTGAGATCGCGGCATATGCTTCTTCTGCTGCACTCAGTTCTTTATTGTCGGTCGCCATAACGGCCATACAAGTCCATAATATTTCATTCTGTTTAGAAATTGCATATTTTTTAAAAATGATTTGTGCTGTTACATGAATATTATTAATTACCTGAGCGATTCGACAAAGAGATAACGCTTCTTTCCACCTCTTGTTTAATATGTGTTGATGAAGGCTGATGAAGAATGTATAAAAAGAAGATGCCACCAATGCACCATCACCTCGACGAACCATTACCATACCGTTGTATACACTTGAAATACTTGGCTGTTTGCCAAACTCACTGAAAGCATGAGCACGTTAGAAAATGAACGATATCTTAGCATATAAGGAGAAATACATTCAGACCTGCTTGCTTTGTCAATCCTAGTTTTCCTTATTATTTTCCGATCGCTATAATGCACACAATTAGGGCACAGCCATACAGACAACATTGCATCGAGCATTGCTGCTAAAACATTCGCGTCTGTTGCCCATGCAATGTCCTGTGCCATCGCAGCTGAGGAAAAATAAAATAATGTAAAATTAATAAAACATGATTCCAGTTAATCGTAAAATTTTCAAAGTAGCACAAGTGTCTGTAGTTTAATTGCTGTTAAAGAAAGATTCGCACCTATTTTACATACTCTACCAAAACCAGTAGATCTAACAGAAACCAGAAACAAGTCTTTATTCAAATCGATTAACGCCACTTGTCGTTCATTCGGCCCTCCTATTTGGTTTAGCGCCACCCTCGTAATATCTTGAAGGTGTACGTAGGATTGACTTTCTGTTATCGGTTTATTGTAGGCGACTTCCAAAACGTGAAGTACTAAAAACGCAAGATCAACAGAAATGAAAGAAGATGAACAAATTTTCTCGGTAACAACTGCAAAGTGAATTATGCTATACATTTTTCATTAGTCTGCGATCTTATAACTAAAGTGTCAGAGCACAATGATACGCAAGGGGGGTGAAGTCGTTCCTGTGTCATCCCTTTCCACTTCGGAGTTCCTAATAATCGGCCTTGATAGCTGTAGAGCGATACGCTATTCCATTCGACCAGTAGAAACTGTCTAAAAATCATTGAATACAAAATAATTCTTTTTCATTGTTTTATCTAAGTTACGATAAAAGAATTATTCAATACTTCTCTGCAAGTAGCACTGCTGATACAGTGGCATTCTTCAAATCAAATATCGCTGGTGTGTTCCAATTTACTACCGAGTAAATATGGCACTGGGCCGGCGTTATAACGACCAAATGATCAAAACCAAATTCCAGTTGGACCACACGATCCGATATTTCTAATGTTTCTTGAACTTCATTAGCAATATGTCTGATTTCAATCACTTTTCTTTTGACTAATGTAGCTTCGTAATTGTGCCATTCCAGCCTCCTGTTGTGCATTTATGTAGAATTGTATAAAACTTGGTCTCAGCAACATTTGCATTGTCGTAAAATACTTAATACCTATCTATTATATGTCCAGTTAACACAGTTCCATTACTACAAGCCATAGCAACCTGTGTACTATCACTGGACCAGGCAATACAGTATATGCTTCCGGAATTAATTTTTTCTAATGAATAGGACCACTAGAAAAATAAGCATCGATAGAAGAATATTCTCTACACGAATCGAGCTAAAATACAATGTAGAAATAAACGAACTCCTGTTTTGTCACACAGTTTGATTGTGTTGAAAGATCCGACAGCAAAGTGGTTCCCTGAGTAACTCCAACTTATTGATGTAATAGGATAATCTCCCATGTTACTGGAGAAGATTAGAGCACCATTAGGATCCCATACCTTCGAAAAAAAAATTAACTTCTCCTATGATCTGACTAAACATATAAAACAACATTTTAATGTGCAGTTACTGCAATTTTGCAATTATCTCCACATACCTTATATCTACAATCTTCTCCACCAGAAATTACAAGACCATTAGTATGGCACCAACATACAATCAAGATGAGACCATCATGCGCCAGTAACTACAATTTTCCTATAAATATTATTTTGTTTCTGGATAATATAAATGCTACATATATGGATTAAATTGTTCAACCTTTCGAGGTTTAGAATTTGTGTTCAGTGACTGAAATATTAGATGAGCACCCTGTGTGTATAGGACTGTTGTACAATTTGGGCTCCAAGCAGCAGACAAAATAGGAAATGAACCTCGGACAATAACGGACCGAAGCATACCACTTCGTGACCAGACTTTTATTAAACCATCCTCACCAGCTGAAATTATAATAAAAACGTTGATTGAACAATAGATCCTCAACATGTAATGCGTTTACTTACCTGTTAAAAGAGCAGAACCATCTGAACTCCATCTGCCTACTGTAGTTGCTCCTTTATGAGCCTCAACACTCTTCTCTATACGACCATTCTTATTGACTAAGTGATACTTTCCTATAAAAAAAATATTGTTTATAAATTTCTACGCACATAAGTTTTAAGCACAACTTTAATACACGAAAAAACTCTGTATTGCGTTTTATAAACCTTTATGTTTTAATAGAGTTTTATTAATGAAATTATAAAACTATCAATTTTTGTTTAAAAATTGTTATTATCGTGATTTTAAAAAGCTGTTTATTATTTTTTTATATTCTATCGAAATACTTCGTACATTATAAACATAGTATTATATTTATTTTAAATATTTAACGTTAATCCGCTTATCGGTTTCTCATAAGAAAATTTTGTGTATCCTCCATAAATTTTCTAATAAAATTTGAGTTTATAAACAACATACAATTTTTCTATATTTTTTATAGTAATAATTGCGCGTAAATACTAAACATTTCCTTTAGAGCATTATCACATATCTACAAAATATTAAATCAAATAAAAAAGGATGTATAAACTAGTCTATTATTTAATTTATACAGTATGAACATTTTTTTCAATAATTACAATGATTTAAAAAATATATATGTATAGTTCAAAACTGTCACTATTACTGAATTGAAGACATCGTTAAAAAAACATTAAATACCATCCGCCGTAGTAATCAAGAGAACGTCTAATGTCTGTTTTTTTGTAATTAATGTTCCATAGTTTAGCCGTGGATGCCATTGCATGTCCGTCGGATAAAAATCGTCAGGAAATTGTGTGACAACACTGGAATGCGCGATTCCACCTTCCAAATGCCATGATATTAACAAATGATCTTCTCTATAGAAGAAAAAAGTATAATTATCTTGCAAAGTGATAAAAGCTGAAAACATATGATAAACACTGAAACGTACCCGCAGGAATAAATTTCTTCGGCAGAGCTCCATGCTACACAGGTCACCAAACGCTTATGGCCGTTGCGATTCTGTGCAGATATTTTAAATCTCATTTTACACTATGACCTATAAATTTACGTCGTACACTTATCAAAATCTTCGTTGACGCATGTAGAATTATAAATTGGACAGCACGCGACGTGAACATTCTCTAGTGCACAAGTTCGATCGCGTGCTCGGTTGAACTATACACTGAAATATTTGTTGGTGAACAAGTTGCTATGGTGACAGGGTAGAACATACATTTACTTTATATGTACGTATTATCTCATACATGTTTACTGAAAATCTTTACATAAAGTCGGTTTTATAAAAAGGACAATAAGACAATTTTATTTATAGTAGAAGCCTGTCGGTATAGAAAATATTGACCTTGAAGAAGAACAATTATCCTTGCGAGCGAAAACATCAAGAATATCCTGAGATTGCACACGTTTATTCCATTTGAGAACATAAACCTATGGCTTATTTATAAAACTCGAGTGAAATCCAATTTTACACACGTTTATTAAAGCTTCCTCGATACAATTCATTAATTCTCGTTAGCACAACCTCGTACTTTTTCCTTTCCACAGTAGAAATAAATCCATGAAGCTGGCGAACCCTACCCGGGATGCCGACACCAACGGACCTCACAACCATTATCTTTTACACTTTACAAACGACCGTGTCTCAGAAGTGTTACAAACATTTCTCAACGCGATACAATGCCGGCATTGGAAGATATCGCTTACATTGAATGCAATGTAATAATTATATATAAAATAGAACATTTTGGAGATAACGCTCAGATCTGTACAACCGAGAAATTATACATTCATCGTGTATACATAATATGTATATATATATAATATATATCTCTATTCATGTAAATCTATTAGAAATGTACATATACGTTAGTTTTGTTGTATCCTTAGTGTTTAGAGACATGTTTTAAAGACTGTCGCGCTAACATCATGAATGAATAGTTAGGATAGTTAGTCGCGTGAAGATAAACGAACATGTAACCGTGAACCGCAATGATCATGTAAAAGCTATGCTAGAGAGAGAGACGATTCGAGACAAGATTCTAGAGATAATAAAATTATCCTTTGATGAGATGCGCAATAATGAGCTTCATGGGAACAAAATGGATAAAGACGTGCTGCATTGTCATATGCACACTTAACAATTGCTGAATGTATTAATAGTTCCTAGTCGAGGAACGACATTGCATTCTTCCAGTTTGTAGACGGCATACGTAGAATGCTTCCAAAAACGGTTCAAGCATTTTTCACTGTATTCATAAAATTCGATAAAATTAAATATACCAAAGTTTCGTTCAAATAATCACTCTACATTAATATTACATTGCACGAAAAACAAAGCAGTTTACAGAAGATGTATATAATCTTCTTTCCTGGTTGAATTATCTAATAAGCTTCATAAAAATACAGTGGAAAATATTCAAACTGTGTAACAATTACCTCAGAAAACATTCTGTACAGAATATATTAAACCTGTTTAGTACCGCATAACAGTTTAGCAAAAACCACTCCTTTGTATTTACAGCTATGTCACTACATCACTCACTGTACCGATTACTTTGCTTGTATTCGTCTTAATAATACATATTAATATCATTACATCAACACCCTATTGTTTCTATATTTTTGATTAATACATGACATTGAGTCGACATCTTCATTAAAAGATGCGTTTCTCTTTCCGTTTCCAACGGGCTCGTTCCAATATCAATGATGGTAAATAATACTTTACAATCAATATATGTTCAGTGTCAATAAACGTTTGCACATGTGCACCTCGCGTATTTACAATTTTTCTTTCATTTATAATATCTGTTGCTCGTGTTCTTTGCCATAAATAATAATATTATTATGCTACTTCGCTCGTTATTCCTCATCAGTTTTTGGCATAGGAACCTTTCCGACTCGCGCATCATCGAGCTTCTTTCTAATCAACGATACTAATACTGTTTGTTTAAATTATGCAAATACAATTCGATCCTCATGGCAGCATCTACGATACCTCGAATCAACATACGTACATGTTTACGTGCACGCGTGTTCTAAAATGATTCTGTTCGCCGACAAGTTGAGAAATCGGCTGATTATTATTGCATTTTTCTTTACACAGAGAATAATTACTGTTGGTATTTAGCTGGAATACTATCACATCAAGCTTTATAATTTGTTCCACAGCTGACACTTCAATATTTACATTTGCGACAATGAACTTCACCTGCCATCCTTCGTTCGACCGTAATTGAGAATTTTTGTTTCATTAAAAAATTTTGATTTCCGTTTAAAATTTCTACTGATATATAAATCTGATAATGCGAGCGATACTCGTATCCACCTCTTCTATTTTCCCATCTTCCTGGAGAAACCTCTTTTCGTAAAACAACTCAATAAAATTATCCACTTTCCATGGAAAATGGCCACGAAACGTTCCAAGACACAAAACCATGTCCGGCTCACATAAAATGCTTCTACAAAAATGTGTAAATTACAAATACATAATTACAGATTCTTATATACAAACATACAGTCTCGTCATGGAATGGTATGACAATATATATTATATATTATCACTTAGCTTAAATACCCTTACAGTTGTTTTCCTTTTTTGCGACTATAATACAATGTTAAACTAAAAGTACACATTACTGGCGAATATTGAACAATATCGACAATGGCAGAACATATAATAAATCTTGTTAAAAGAAACGTGACATTTACGTTGTTAAACGCGTAATTTACACGAATTTGAATGTCATGGTACTCGAATCCGGAAACGACAACCTTCCGATTCGCATAATGATCATGCGTCATGAATGGCCGAATAATTACAGCGAGGGATGAGATCGGTGAAACCGATTCGCAAGGGTAAAGAATAAAGATAACTGCCTACGCTCTTCTGCCCAAGTAGGCTCGAGGATAGTGGAAAGAAATCCCTACTGAAAGAAGCTCAGTTCAACGCGTGACTGTTTCTACGTCTTAGGAACACCCTGCTATTCACCGGATAAACTCTGGTCAATAGTATCAATGAACTGCCAAGAGCGAGTTTAACAGGCGCCTGTCGACCACCCGGTAATCTGATAAATACAGTGGCTACGGCCGCAACGCCATCATCAGTTGGTTCAACTGCGACAGGTCTCACGTCATTATGAAAGCTACCTAACTTATTGCGTTTACTTTTTCGCTGTGGTGAACTTGGACTGCAGTCATTACCATCACGGTCATAAATAATGGTAGCCGACGCGAATGGTCTTTTGGCCATGTGTAACATTTCGACAACGTGTCTCCTTCGTGCTCGCCGAACGTCGGCTGCCTGTTTCGCTTTCCAGGCAACCACACAAGCGGCCAAGAACAAAAAGAAACACGAGAAAAACACAGAAAAGAATACGAATAAGTCGATGTGTAGTTGATCCTGTCGGAAAAAGATCATTCCGTAGGCAGCTCGACCGCTTATTTCCGGATGTACAGGATCGATTGCTCTGAGAGCGATGTGGAATTTCGTTTGATGGAGTTCGTGCTTGTCCTGCGGTAGAGTTAATACTAATCGATTAGTAAGATTTCTCACGACCAGGATTGTGTTCCTTTGCGCAATTGTTAGGAAAGTAGCGAGACTTTTGGCGTAGCATTCCATTACGATGTACTGCGGACCGGTATTCCAATTTGGTTCTGGAGTAGTGCTATTCGAACCGTATGAGTACATACTATGCGAATGGTATTCGACGACTCTCATTATGCTATGTGTATGTTTGTCGAACCACGTGTTCCCTGGATCCTTGCGCCATACAAATCTGCTGTCCAATTCAACCTAGAAATAATTTAAAAGATTATAGAAAACTCGATGCTTTCTAATCGGTTGGTGAACGAAACATTTAACTATACACACATCCTGATATCCAGTTGTTGTATTTAGATTAACGACAAAGGAATCGTCACGGGGACTAAAAAATAGATCTAAACCTCCTTGAGTTACGTCCACCATAACTCTGATGTCAACGTTCATGAAACGGGGTTGCACCATGTAGAACACTGTCTGCCCGGGATTTAACGGTTTCGGTTTCATTTTGCACTCATCTGTAATTGATTCGCGTGATAAATTACGAATAAACAAAATTGTTCAGGAACACATAGTAATACATTATTGGAGGAGTACAAACCATAGGATCCTCCAGATACAATAGAACGTAGCAATTTGAGAAAAGTAATTCTTAGTTAAAGTGCATAGCGCACGAATGCATGAATTTTATGTAGCGGAAGAACTTGTAACAATGATTATGGTAATGACAATGACGTGAATTTATGTAACAAAATACTTTGAATGAAAAACAGAGGAGAATGATAATGATGAGAGATCATATATTAAAATTAATTACCTATTAATTTGGAGTCGAAACACATTTTGTTATCAACTGTTACTGTTTTGTAACATTGATGACCCATTGTTGGATTGCCGGCATAATTTTCTTTGCATTTACTGCATTGCACCATCCAACAGGGTGGTGCCCCACCAGTGTTCGTACCCTTTATAGGACCACTAGTACATGATGAATTACTTTCGGTGTTGTTGCCGCAATTGCATTTCTCTCCTGTTACGGGGTCGCAAGTGAATCCGTGACCGTGACATTCACAACTGAAAGAATGAATTCACAACTGAACTGTCAATACTCTTCCTAATATATCCCATAATAAGAACAATTTTAAATAATACTAACGGTCGACAGACATCGTGAAGATCTTCTGTTCCTCGAAAGTAGCCCGTCATGCATTCACCGCATTTATCACCCTTTGTATTATTTCCACAATTTACGCACTTTGCCTTAGATACAGGGCCTTCGACTAATTGCTTCTTTAATAATTCCAAGGACATTTTATTTATGGAATTTGGATCCTATAAATGAAGGTCACGTTTTAAATGTATGCATTACGTATATTACATGAGCTTGGAAAAAATTGAAATTACCGGTACAGTCATGCTCTCGTTAATACAAATTCGAGTATGCCCATTACAGTATTCCAGACATGGTACACATTGTCCATTATCTGCTGGATTTCCAACAAATAAAGGTAAACATTTATCGCACTGTGGCCCCATTGTATTATTATGGCACTCTAAACAGACATCTAATTTATCTGGACCGGCACAATTACTGTGACCGTTACACTGGCACTGAATCGAACAATTGGCACCTACGTAACCGAAATCACAGCGACAAACATTTGGTTCTACACATGTTCCTCGGACGCATCCTTGCGTACACATAGGTACACAAATTTTTCTAAAAAAGGAAAGTACAATATACATGTAGAAAAGACTATATTTAGTTTTTTATATTGTATCATATTTAAATCTTACCTTCCAAATTCGTTAAATGACGCTGGACTGAGAAAAGTATAAAGAAAATTAATAAATTCTACTACATGATACTATCAATGGCAAAGAAAGAAAAAGAAAATTACGTTTCAGTTTTGTATCCATCACCGCACATGCATTCAAATCCTTCTTCCAAATCAAAGCATTTTTCACTTTTTGGTGAGCATGTGTGATGACCATTAGTACATTCGTTTTCTGGAGGACATCGTACATAATGCCATGAGAATGATGGTTTCGATGTTACGCTTGGAATTAACATTGTTACATTGTCTGGATTTTCAAGTATTTCTGCATAATGTGGAAATAATGTAGTTATGAGTGCTGAAATCATTCATAAGTAAATATTCTTGTAATATGTAAATAATCATATGTAAATAATTTCACTTTTCTTTAATAATTATCTTACGTGGTTCTGTTTGAGGAAATTGTTGATAATAAAGCATTTCGCATGTACCACCGGCTGGATGATCTGCAGGTGCTTCCAGAGAACCCTCTGTACATATTCCTTGACCAGTTATATTAGCTGAATCTAAAGAGCACCATCCACAATGTGAGTGTTTTAGGCAAGTGCTGCATTGCTTGAAAACTGAGCATGGTTCAGGACAATGATCAATATCAGAATTACGCAGTACTAGACCGCACACACCACCAGCACAATAAAGAGGTTGATACGATGGAGAGATGCACTGAAATAAAGTTATACTGTATGGTATTGTATAATTAGTTGTTTAATGTCACTGCTGTTTTATATTTACTTCATTCAGTTGTGTTGACCATCTACATTCCCGCCACCCTCCCTCAGCTCCTGTACCCTTTAGACATTCCTTACAATCCTTATGATCAGCGCAACGTTTTTCACACTGTGTGCTTCCCATTTTAATACTGGATCTTTCAAAAACGTCATCTGATACACAATTCCAATCATATACAGGTTCATGAGTTACTGCAACTCCTAATCCAGCTAACAACATTTATAGAAATTTATCAAAAGTTGTTTATAAGTAGTACTGTATTTTAGATAATCTCAGGAACTTACAAGTCTTCAGAACCTGCCTTGTCCATGCACAATCTTCTAGACTGTTACATTTTTCACAATCACTTGCAGGACACTGTCGTTCGTGGCATTGATTTACATCTACCACTGATGTTTCCTTGGCATCACACTTATATAATTCATCGCAATCTTTTTCGTATGGTATGCACTTTCCGTGTATGCCAATTGTACAATTTGTACACCATTTACATATCGATGCCTCGCCTTTATAATATGGCCATTCTGCTAAACACTCTGTGCAAGTTTTAAAGTTTTGACACTTTCTGGTTGCCATCCAGTTTTCGTCACAAACGACTCCATTTGATACCTGAGCTTGACTAACGTTACTGCATCTAAATAATATCATAAAATATAACTCTAAAATGTTTGTAATAAATTAATGTACTTGTTTAAAAAGCATTCAATTTACCTTTTATTCTTACTATCAGATTCTTCATTGGAAAAACAGAATGAAGCATTATTTCCACTAAATGTAGTAACAGAACAAAAGGAGCATCCAAAGTACTTTCTGCAAGTTAGTTTATCGGTCCAAAGATTGCATAAATCCTCAGGTATATTTATAAGGGTAACATGACTTTTGATTCCCCCATCAAAACCACCAACAACGTATACAGCATTTGATTCCGGATCTGCATGGGTCATTGCATGAGCATATGCTGGTGGTGGAGGGCTTCCAATAACTTCCATGTCTTTTGTTATTAAACGAATCCATAAATTACACGAGTATTTATATGCAATCAATGAGTCAGAAGTATTGTGAGGATTTTGCCGTCCACCAAATATAACCATGTACTCATCAGTAGTGACTGCAGAGTGAAGAAATCTAGCTTGGGGCTGCAACAGAACATTACTATTACCACTTTAATCTTTTCTCTAATACAATAACGAATAAACGTTTCCTTACCAAGCTATTTCCATCAGTAAGATCATCATCAAATGGTGGAAGTACAGACCACGTGAGAGTTACATAATTTAATGCATATAATTTATTTGAGATAAATGTTCGGTTTATTGCATATGTATATCCACCAAAGATATAAAAACTGTCTGATTGGCTGTGATATACTGTAGAGTGGCCGTAAACTCCCAATGGTCCATTACCAACCGTATTTATCGTGTCCCATGTTTCTGATTCTAAATTGAATTCCCATACTGTATCTAAGTAACCATACTTAGGGCTAAATCCTCCAATTAATATCAAGCTCTCTGTTTCTCCATTCCTGCGTAAAGTTAATGTATGCCCAGCTAAAGGTGGTGGTTCTCTTTTCGATTCATCCTGCATAATTTGCATCCATCTCTGATTTTGCAAACTGAATTTCCAAAAATCGCTCAGCGTATTATTAGATAATCCTTGAACGTCTTCTTCTTTCATTGACAATCCACCATAAACGTATATCTGTTGTCTACTGTGGACTATTTCTGTCGCATGAAAGTATCTACCTTGAGGCATAGAAGCTTCTGAAGTAGATTCCACAGTAATGGGCATCCAAGTGTTATTTTTAGTATCAAAAAGTCTAATGTCATTCAATGGACCATGGCTAAGGGAATATCCTCCAAACATCCATAGACTACCTCGTCTGTCCGCGACCAATGTATGACCAAATCTTGGTAGAGTCTTCCGCAGATGATCTAAATGGTCTGCTAAATACTCCGAGTTGAACAATTCGGTAAAGATTAGTTGATGATCTTTGATTTTAATTGAGCAATCGCGTCCTCCATACCCAGGTGTACAAACGCAGCGACCGTAACCCTTATCACAAACTCCTTGCTTTTTAGATGACGTACAATTATTTGGACATATTTCAATGTCACAATTAATTCCTACAAAACCGACTTTACATAAACAATTTCCGTTCCGACATTCCCGATTCCCAGGACAATTATTGCATGTCATTATTATGTAACTTGCATTGAAACCTTCGACTTCATCCAGCTGTTTGTAATGTACAGTAAGAAATCCAGACTTAGCTTCTACAGTTACCGGATAATCTGTGCTTTCCGTACAATAAACACCTAAGAGCTGACTTTGATGACTAGTAGTTGACGAAACAAACTCGGGTAGTCCATCGTATACATAAACGCTATTCTCTTGACAGCTAACATTAATATCATCGTGTATAGTAAATTGTATTACACTCTGTGTTTCTGAAAGCATTGTGTCTGATGAAAGATCTGTTTTCGGACTGACTATCCAGAGACATTCTCTTGTCGGTGATTCTCCGAAATGACTTTCCCATAAAGACAATTGCGAGTGCCTGCTGCCAAGACCTTGTTTGCCATTTCCTTCACCTCCTAACATACCTCGCGATATACAACCATAATAACACATTCCACCACCTCTTGGATCACCATAATATCCTTTCTTACAACGCTGACACATATCTCCCTGTGTATTATCACGACAAAAACAGACACCAGTTTGTCGGTCGCAGATGTCTAGATCGTTATCTCCGTGTTCATTGCAATTACATTTTTTGCATCCAAGTGATGTTGTAGCATTACCATAACTGCCTGCTTTACATTCTTCGCAATATCTACCTGTGGTCCAATCTTGACATTCATCACAGATGCCTGGCCCTTGCACGCAAGTAGAATGATTGTAACAACCACAATTTGTTCTACAATCTGGTCCTGTCCAACCAAGATAACATTCGCATTTGTAATCAGGTGCTTCACTGCAATAACCGTTAACACATTTCTCGTAGCATGTCTTTGTACAGTTTTCTTTGCCATCTCCATTGAAACCTCTTTTACACTGACAACTGAAACTGCCGTGAGTGTTAGTACATAATGCATCCGGATGACAATCATGCAAACCCAAATCACATTCATCGACATCTGGACATTGAGCGTATGCCCAGCCTGATTCATTGGCCTCTAACGTAGTGTTTTGATAATCATTAATGACTAAACTACAATTAACATGTGGTTGATTGAAGTCTCCTTGTACGCATGCTCCCAAAATTGGATTTTCCAGACTATAACACCAACCGCAACTTAACGAGTGCAGGCAATTAGAACAGTTCGTGTGCCAACTGCAACTTTTGCATTGATCATTGCCAGTTAAGGATGATCCAGATCTTGAAGTTACTCCCATAAGCCCGGCTTGATCCATCCATTCCCGACAGAGACCAAACTGGTATTCAGATGTGTATACTGAAAAAGAAAAGCATTCCTGCGTGGCCTCACACCAGACACACCTTCCACGCTCATCTAAGCATTGCGTACAGTTTGAACGTTGTCTGCAAGGAATGGGGCACTGGTCGAGACTAACAACAGCATTAGGCAGTCTCCCTATTCTTGCACACCGCGCCTCCTCCGTCCACCATTCACATAAATTACTACCAACACAAGATTCACAAGAAATGTAATTAGAACAATTAGCACAAGCTGAAGGTGTGATTGTCAGATAATGCCATTCACGAATCGGATTGCCATCCTCATCCCATTCCATGTCGGCTATACAACTTTCTGTTTCGTTGATAGAACGTGAAAGGCATTTATTAATAATATCACACCAACCGCACGACGAGTCGGTTAAGCAGTGAAGACAGTTTTTATATTGGTGGCAAGATCCATTTTGATATGGTTCCAGATATTCAAATGTGAACACTTTTGGATTTTCAGTTTTCTTGTTATGAGTGATTTCCATTTTACTCGCATAAGCATAACTGGTAGTAACCATTCTCTTTGACTCAAAATCTAATAAATATCGACCTGGCAGCAACATCATCTGATGTCCATCTGGCCATTTTGTTGGTATACACTGCGATGTCTCGGCGGTTAAATTTGCAACTGATTCCTGGAAAGATTTATTTAAAATACATTACATATACAAAATAGCCAATGATGAGTCAAAATACTAATTAAAATATGAAAAGCAACTTACCAATTCTTGAGGATCACTGCTCCGTGAAACATGAAGTGTTGCACTGTTATAACTGACACAAATTTTTAAGTGCTCTACTGTACTATCCCAAACATATTGTGGAGGTCTTAGAAATCCAATTAATCTAGCTATCATTTCTCCACCAAGGGCAGACTCGGTTTTTGCCCCTTGCATAGACGGAACATTAAAATCAACTGTTGTAGCATTGACTATTGTTACCGAGTCGGGTTGACTAAAGTTCACTGGAGGTTTGTACTTCAAGAATGTTAATCCTGGCCTTTTATCCATTTCACGACATTCCTCTACTTTTATAATTTCAGTGCCTTTAGGACCCCACCAGCCAGGTATCTGAGACAGTGTATCATCTCGTAGACCACAAACACCATAGTTATCATCTTTATGGTGGCATCGAGCATTCTGAACACACCACGTACAAGTTCCCAAATTTAACTTATTAGAAATTGATTTTTTTCCACGAGCAGTTGTACCCCATCCGCCACCGGGTTGGCCATGTATTAAACAAGAATGGCAATCTCCAAGTGCAGGACAAACACCTGGGCAACGAGTTGTTTGAAGATTAGTCGTGCAGTTACTTCCAATTGTTCTGCCATAGCATATCTAAAATAATTAAAAAGTATATAAAAATAATTGTCTTTAAAAGCATACCTAAATTATCTATGTTAGAACTTACCTCATCTGCTGAACACCAGCCGCATTCTGGATTGGCTGAACATTCCATTAGACTTTTATGCCTTGAACATATTTGTTCAGGTTCTGTGTAATCTTCGTCTCCTGGCGCAAGCATTGGTGGTAATGTATAAGCAAGCAAATCTGCATTTACATTTCCATGATAACCACCCACTAACAACAAGGTGTTTCCATTGCGCACGTCTGCCGCGTGCGCAAATACTCCCTGTTGTTTTGGATAACGCGAATCTAAATATATTAAAATAAAAGTTAAAAAAACATCAAACATTTTTCACCAATCCTTATATAAACAGATAAGCTTACCTTTGTCATTTAAACCTAATACGTCGTGACTTACCCAGGCGTGACAGCCTAAGTGATACAGATACATCTGGTTATCATAACAAATTTCTTCCTTATTATGTCTATGAGAGTATCCGCCAAATACAACTAAATAATTTCCTGCACGGTAATGTAATTAAGTTATCACTGCAGTTTAAAGATGTAGAAATAAAATTTAATTATGCCACTATAATTACCTATAATATTGCAAGTGTGAAATGCCCGCTCTCTAGGAACATAAGTATCCCTTAAATGTGCTCTTGGATAGTGAATTTCAGACCAAACTTTTCTATCAAGTTGAAATACAAACATTCTATCGGATAGTTTACTAAACCGCGCCACACTAGCTACTACTCCTCCATAAACTAATAGAGAGTTAGTAGCGCGATGGTAGACAGTTGAATGAGCAACTACACGTACATCTAGTTCTTTACCCCCACGAGGATGTACTTCTTTCCACCTTTCTGTAGTTGCAGTAGGATCAGCTAAAATTAAAACAGATATCATGCATACAATCGTGCTCTCATAAGAATGAGTTACAAACAAATATTATGTACATAATATAAAATCTGAACTCACATAAATTTAATTTAATTGTATACAAACTCGATGAAAATTCACCATCAACTGTACTACCACCGAAAAGATAAATATGATCATTTGCTAAGGTAAGTGTATGTCTTGTTAATTGCGGTGGATAGAATGGAGAATTTTTAGCTCGTAACGTCCAAATATGTGTCTTGACATTATAATGCCACAATTCGTTTGACAAAGAACCGTCTTGCACCTTTCCTCCATATATAACAAAACCGCCTAGAAACGAACAAAATTACAAATTTTATAAACAGTTTTTTTATTTGCAAATATGTGTATGTATAACTAACCATCATATCTACAAGCAGCGTGACCGTAACGTGGGCTTGGTTTAGGCAATTCGTCAATAGGTGACTTCGTAGATTCATCTTTAAATGATTCATCAGTTGATGATTTAGGCTCTTCAATAAAAATATTTCCCTGAACAGGGTCTTCAACGCTTTGCTCTTCCCAATTTAATATATCACTCTTTATATTCGGTGCGTGAAGTTCTCGATAAAGATCAAAGTCTTCAAGATTTCTACGATGTCTAATATAGTAAAAAGAAATACATATTTTTTATATAATAGTTAATATTAAAATAATGTTTAATGATATCAAAGATATTCAATTCATATTTACCTTGTAGTTTGTGCATATCGAGGTTTTGGATGCCTAGAGTGTTTCCTTCGTAAATCGTCATTTCTTTCTATTCTAATTGTACTTTTACTCACTTCACCGTCCCTGGCTTCTTGAATTTTTCGTTCATGTGCTTTATGTTCTGGATTATTTCTGAATTCTGACCAACCATGTCCACTTTCTGAGTTTCCATGGTTACGTAGAGTAAAAGTATTATTGTCTGTAATACTGTAAAGTACCCTCCACAGGAGGGATGATGGACGAACACCATATAATTCTTTTGCACCTGCATCCATTCGTTCTAACTCAGTACCAATGAGCATAGGATCTAAATATTCTGCAGATGAGGTACGTTCTATTTTTTGAAAGGATACACCAAATTAAACAAATAATATATAATATATTATTCTCACATTTCTATAAATGTAATAAAGAAATATTGTCCTTACCTAATACATTACCATATGCATCTTCCCATTGGCTTTTACCAAATTGATACACTTCCAGATCACTTAGTATATCATTGAGATCATAGCCACCAAAAACATAAAGAGAATCTGATTCGTTTATATATACTGCTGTATGTGCTGCTCGTGGTCTTAATCCACCTTCTGAATGTGAAAGCCAGTGCCATCTGTTTAACATACATTATATTTAAAAACTAATATTTAACTACATTTTAATAGAATCAAATTTTAATGACATACTTGTTGCCTTCTGGATGGGTTTTATGTAATGAGCAAGACTGTCCAGAATATCCATCATGACATTTACACCTTTTTATATCACACTTACCACCGTAGCTACAATTATTTGGACAAAGTGCTCTGGAACAATCTCTCCCACCCCAATCATTTTCACAGACACATTTATTATTAATACACTTTCCATGATTTGTACAATTATTTGGACAATTTGTAACTGAGAACTCTGCATGAAAACCATCCAATACATAATTTGTATCACTATATAATAATATTAACATCTGTGTAAAAGGAAGAATAAATATATTGTTGAATTCTTTATTGATTGCACCATTTGAATAATTCATAAGAATATGGTAAGTATGATATAGTTCGTGATTGGAAGATTTTATATCAACTTACATAACCAGATGATGATGTCACTTGTTGCGGCTCTGTTTTTCCACTGAAACTTCCTAAAAGAGGAGATCGAAATGAATCTCCATCATAAACGAAAACATAATCATAACTGCATTCCGTTCCCATAGTACGGAAACTTAATGTAATAAATTGACGACTGTTGTTTGCTGCAGAGTAATAAAGATATGATAAGTAACTACAGTCAAAGAAAGTACTTACGAAAAGTTATTATAGAGATGTTTACCTTTTATGAGCCATTCGCAGTGAGAGTCTTGAGTATAATTTGAGCCTAAAGGTCCATCACTGATAATTCCCCAAGAGTCGGTAAAAACTTTCCGTGTTTTATCACATGGTACCTGTTTTGGAGATGTTTGCGGTGCTAATTGTAAGCCCCGCAAGAAGCAACTCCATATTGTAATCCATACTGTGGTGGTTGAGACCCACCCCATTACGGTATATTTACCTCAATGTTGCTGGATAAGATAAAGCTCATCATCCATGTTCATTGGAATGTGTTTTTTTGAGCAATTACGTTGTGAGAGATTCATATAAAGAGTTGTATCTAAAAAATATTTTTATGTTAATTCAATTATTCTACAATAGTTCAGAACTTATAAAAATAATTTTCTTAAAAGAAATGTTTTTCATGCAAAGAAAACACAAATATGGTTACAAAATTTGCTAAATAATTCACATATAAAAACAAATAAATTACTATATTCACTGATCAAGACAATATTAGTATTTAATGAAAAACAAAAAAGAATAAAATTTTCAATAAAGCTAACGTTTACGTAAAACAGTTTATAGTCTAAACGAAAACGATAGAATATTGTTGCTTATTAACAAAATTATACGTATAATTGGATAATAATTGACGTAAGTCATAACTGTGACTCAATAAGTAGTGTGCAATAAAATTTATATACGGTGATTGTTTATAAAAATATTTATTAATTCGATACCATAAAAACAACTTCAATACGCTGCTATAATTGTCGAAGTACACGCTGTCACAGTGACACTGTACAATAATAATGCAACGTCGAGCATACTGCGTTCAGAATGCATATACTTATTAAATAAAAAGTATTATGTGTACTGTAATAAATATCGGCACACGAGTATTACACCGCGAAACCTGTAGTGTTCAGCGAGGAAAGAATTAAAAACTGACTACGCTGTTCTTAACGAAAACAAATACGATGAACATTCTTTATCGAAATAGATGCGAGAGAACCTCAGCTGCGATTGAATCAAAACATTATGTACGTATACACACATACATGTCAGAAAAATCTGCTCCGTGCTATGTTCTGGATAGTTGCATTCTCCAAACGCAAGTTATATCGAGAGTATGTATCGCCGATGCCGGGTTCAAATATTCTAGTGCGATACAACAAGCATTGAAATAAACGTGCAAATACGAACAGACAAAAATTATCGCATAAACTCTGTTCGGCCTCGCCTGTTGACACCTTGACTGTCTCTGCATACGAGGTCAGGGTGGGGGCTCTTCGACCGCCATTAAATTCTCCTTGTTTCGAACGCGGTTTCGATATTCGAAAGTTTCCAGGGACACTTCGACTAAGAAATCGACATACAAATACAGGTAGATAAACTATAATGTTGGTAGTGTAAATAGTGAACAGATTGTTCTGTTTTACCTACGTTGCCAAGAAAATATACTTTATTGAATAAGAATTAATTACATAATCATTAAAAATATTAAAAATACTGAGCTGAAATTTGTTTCAATTTTTCATTTCCTTCTTGTTTGTAGCGTTTATATAGTTACACATATGTGTTTTTCATATATTGCATTAAACTGTTCTACGTTTCTATTATCTAGGGAAATTATGATAAGTTACATTAGAAAATAATAGGAAAATGAGGATATGTATAGCATGTGCGCGC